TTTTTAAGCCGTCTCTTGAAAGCCCCATGGCCGAACGTTTGGAGCTAGAGATTCGCGAAGCTATCAGACCAGGTGTTCCCTGAACTGCTGTGGAAATCTTTTGGGGAACGCTTGGAGGAGCACGACGCGGAGGATCAGGAGAGGGAGGAGGAGCAGGAGGAGGAGGCGTTTTGGGAGCCTCTTGAGGCACTCTTCGGGCCTCTTGGAGGCCTCTTGGGGGCTTCCTTGCGACTCTCGGGAGCTCTTGGGGGCTTCGTGAGGGCTTCTTGGGGGCCTCTTTGGCCGTCTTGGGGCGTTCCTGGCCCGTTTGCGCCGTCGGAAGCCGTCTTGGGAGCCTTTCTGAACCGACTTGGGGCCCTCTTGGGGCGCCTCAGGACCGTCTTTGAGGCCATCTTTGGCGTTTTTGAAGCCTCTTGGGCCATCTTGGGGCATTCTTGGAGCCGTCTTGGGGGCGTCTTGACCGTCCTGGGGACATCTTGGGGCCTCTTAAGCGATCTTGGGGTCCTCTTGGGCCGTCTTGGATCGTCAGAAAGCCGGAAAGACGCAAATGCGAAAATCTTTCAAACACCTAAGGAAAATCATTGATTTTGGCTTCTTCGGGCCCTCCTGGAGGACGTCTTGGAGGTATCTTGGGCTGTCTTGGAGGCATCTTGGGCGCCCCTTGGGCCAGCTTCGGCTCTCTGGGTGATATTTCTGCCGTCTTGGATGCCATCTTGGTCGTCTTGGAGGTCAGCTTGGCAGTCTCGAGGTATATTGGAGACCATCTTGGCAGTTTTTGATACCTTTTGGGCCCTCTTGGGGCCCTCTTGGGGCTGGCTTGAAGGCCTCTTGGGCCGTTTTGGAGCCATCTGGGAGGCCTCTGGGACTAGTTGGGGACTCCTTGGGCCGCCTTGGGCGGTCGGAGCACCAAAACCGAGGACAATCAAAAATCCGTCAAAAACCTATCTCGGAACCTCTCGTGCCCATCTTGGACCATCTTGGAACCTCTCGGGCCCATCTTGGGCCATCTTGGCCGTCTTAGGGGGCATCTTGGCCGTCTTGAAGCTCAACTTGACCGTGTTGGAAGCATTTTGGAGGCCATCTTGGCCGCCTTGAAGACCGTCTTGGGCGCATTGGAGGCCTCTGGAGCCGTCTTGGCGCCCTCTTGGGGTCGTTTTGGGGGCCTCTTGGGCCGTCGTAGGGCCATCTTGGAGGCCTCTTGGGCGCTCTGCGAGCGATCTTTCGGGCTCCTTGCGCCGTCGTGAGCCGTCGGAAGGCTCGGAAGGCTCGAAAAGCCACAATCTTTCAAAACCTAAGGACAACACTGATTTTGACATCTTTGGGCTCTCGTGGAGGACCTCTTGGAGGCTTCTTGGGCCGTCTTGGAGGCCTCTTGGAGGCCTTTGGGGCCGTCTTGGGCCGTCTGAGAGGTTTCTTGTGCGAACTTGGAGGCATTTTGGACTCTCCTGGGCCGTCTTGGAGGCCATCTTGGACCATCTTGGGCGAACCTGGAGGCCATCATGAGGTGCGCACATGTCATGCATGTAATTAATGTCGCACAAGAGTAGTTCGACGGAAAGGTTGTAGCGATGTTTCCGATGCTTGTCGTCGCACAGGAAGCACTCATACATGGAATACATATATATATATATATATATATATATATATATATATATATCCACGCTAGATTGCACAATACGCGTGCTCCTGCCATGGTCAACAACACCTGCTACTTCATCAGGATGTATACGAACTGATGACGCGTGTCCCATGTAGTTATAAGGCGTATGCGCGCGCGTGCGACACGATGACACGTACGGTGATAAATCGCGTGGCATACAAACATGTGTAGACAGACACCACCAATGTAATGACCAGATTTCCATCTGCTCGCGCATATGATGCTTAGGCCCTTCAACTGTGATCTGCACGGGAACGTTCCAGTTCTGCTGCATGAATCGGCGATCTTCCTGGCGTCGCAGAGACAGCGGGAGCCGAGGGTCAAGGTTTGCGAGGGCATCGACATCGAATCTTGTGGCTGGTCGCCGGTAGTTGGTGAACTTGGAGGCGAACGTTGGCGGCTGGACTGCGTGCGCGCGCGTGCGCGACAGACTGAATGGCGCGAAGTCTGGGTGAAAACGGCGAAGGCACTGTCGCCGCGCGCCCCGTAGTCCTCGAATAGCGCATTCGCTTCTGAGCCCGCGCACGCTGATCCTGCAGGCTTGGCGGCTCGCAATTGCCAGGGCGCGGGTGCACCAACGCATCCTTCGGGCGGCTCTCTGCCGGCGTGCGCCGCGCAAGAAAACCTCGGTAAGCTTCCGGAGGAAAAAGAGCACATACATTCGAAATTCGACACATGAGCTTTGTTGCTGGACCTACAAGTTCCCGCCTTTGCCCCCGAACGAAGCCCTCTGCCAATAATCCCAATCATCCTCCCTCACAGGTGCATTTGTCCTCCGAGAGAAACTCATGCTTGAACGCGTTGATTTCGTTCTGGACGCGCACGTTCGGGGTGGGCGAACCTTGCTTTGATGTCGGGGGCGTGCGATTTCGTCGGCTGCGCCCCAAGCCATCTGCTCTTTCTTTTTGTTGGCCCGTTTTCGTTTTACTTTGGAAGATTGCGCGTGGGCGGGCAGAGTTTGTGCTTTGCGCGCTGATCCCTCGTCGACGCACGTGGGTTTATGCGCGCCGATTCGCGCAACCATGAACCACAGCGTTTCCAAGGGACGCTGGCGCCATTGTCTGCGCCCTCGTTGGCACGCGAGGGGGTGGTCTGCGCGACGCGAAGCGACTCTGTGCTCGATGAGCCGCGAACGCGCACCACACTCGAGACCCGCCGCGACGTGCTTGCACATGCGTACAATTTGTGTCTCTCCTGTCTGCCAAATGTAATTGCGAGACATGTATGTCTTTGAGCCTCAAGTTGCTGGACCCGCTGTGCAGGTACTGCAATCAAGACCAGAGACGTGTGCAGAGCAGTCCTCGTTCAATCTGGTCACTTTCATCATCGATTCCCAGAGCGAATCGTTATATCTGGATGGGTAAAGCCCGAGTCGAGATCCCGACTTGCCGTCTTTACGAAGTAGTTGCACGCAGAGCAATGCAGCCAGTTGGGAGAGATACGCTGCAAGAGGAGTGAGTACACGCTGTCGCCTGTAATGTTTGTGTGTTGCGGGGATTAACCCAAACAAGCATGCAGCTTGGCACGTGCGCACCTCTCGGAACAACGACATGATTGTCGAAGGCTCGGAGCAATACAGCGTTTTATCCATGCATGCTTTTCCCCATGTGTTTATTGTAGAATATACCCCATGTGTTTTCCCAAGCAAATCTCACGTCTTACCCCGCGAAATACGATCAATTCGTGAACGCTCGCACGTTGAACAGCTACGGGCAGCGCTGGTCTACGATGGGGAAGGCTGGAGAACGCGAGATTCTCGCTTGTGCTGTATCTCTCCCACGGTAACATGCCTCGTGCTGCCCTGAAAAATCCGCTCTTCTACGTACTCTACAATGGAACTGCAGTGCACCAAGCTGCTTTCCCTGTTCAGACTGCCCTGGGGCTCGCAGCCGAAGGGGTCGGCAAAGTATGCATGGACGAGCACGAAATGGATGTGAGTAGTATGAAAGAGATGAAGTGGAAGGGCAAGGAGTGATAGCCCAATCTGGGCGGGTATAGCACAATGTCCGTAGGCTTGTCACGCAAGCACTGGGTGATCGCGCTGGAGAGTCCTTTCTGATGCTCCTGATGTTCTCTGCAACCCTAAGCGACTCACGCGTGTGTGCGAGTAGGCAAGCAAGTCTACATGCCGCCCTTGAGCTCCGGTCTAAGCCGCTTTGGAGCTGGATGGCAGCAGAAACCTACGCTGTCGTCTCCCATGCTGTGGCAGAGAGCGGGTGGAGGGAGGGGGCGACAGAGGAAATGGGATGGGTGGGAACACAGGGTGAATGAAACTTGCCTGAAAGACGCACCAGGTACGAAGGGAGGTCCAGGGGGGGAATAGCTGAGGCCCCTCCCATTTCGGATTGTTCCACGGGGACGCTTTTTCAGTATACACATTTGTATATATTTATATTTGTATCTGTGTATATATATATATATGTATATTGAAGGAATTATGTCGCCTCCAGCGGCGAGCAGAGGCCCGTTCTGTATTACAGGTGTCTGGCCCAAAGGTCATTCTACCCCTGGAACCAAGTTATCAGCCGAAGCAGCGCCATCGCTGCAATTGGTGCGAAGCGCTTTAAAATGGCGGACGCGGGTGCATTGGAAGAACACCTCGGTTCCATTATCTCCGACGAATCCTTCGGTTCGTAGTCGTCGAAACCAGTGGTGGCGAAGTCGCAGCCAGTAGGGCGCGGACAAGTCGCACCGATGGACCGCGCCCGGGGCAAAGGTCAACACGTCCCGCCCCGCCCGCGCGATAGGGCTATTGCGGCGGGGAGACTTGGCGCCGCTTCGTCGGCGAAGGCCGACGCTATGGCAGCGGGGAGACCAGACGCGGGCGCTGAGGGATCGGAAGAGAGAGGTCGCGGGTGGGTCGCTGGCGGGTCGCGGGCGAAAGCGACGACAATAATAATAACATTCCGCACCAGGAAACTCCATTTCAGCCACGCACCCAGGAACGGTGTGGGATCGTTCTCGGAGGGCATCAATTATACACCTACGCCGATATTGGCCAGGCTGATCCTTAGCCCAGGATCGGTGTATGTGCCTTTTTGCCCAAGCCAGGAAGGTGTATGCACAGATCCTGGGCATAGGCAGGATCGGTGTAATTAGGTGTAGGTGTATAGTTGATGCCTTCCTACGTTCGACCTCTGGCGTGCGGCGGGTGCGTTGGTGAAGGGATGTGCCCAGGAGGCTTCAGACCCCAGTGGATTCCTTATCTGATGAGGGTGGCGTTGATATCCATGGCCAAAACTCTGTTGGAGTTCCGCAGGCTTCAGACCCTGGGTTCCTTACCTATGGGTTCCTTATCCAATGCCCGTCCTGTACCGTCGGACGTTTGTGCCATCCGAAGGCCGGCGGGTCTTCGCCCTCGCGGCCGCCGGTCCGGAGTAGCTTCTTGGGAACGGCGCCCGCGGCGGGGGCGAGGCCTGGAGCGCGCCGTCGCAGCGTGCGGAGCTCGACGGACGACAGCGCGGGCGGCGGCGGCCTCGATCCGCTGGACGAGGACGGGTTGGCGGGGATGGTTGGACTACGCGTATGGGTGACCTTTCGCTGGAGTGGCCTTTGGTGAGGGCCCAACGGGGCCCCCCCGATCGCTGAACATGAATGTGTGGCACCGGCTTGCGCGCCCCGGTGTGGCCACCCCTCGTCCCCCGTGAAGTCGCGCACCAAAGGTCACTTTTGCCCAGGGTCACTCTTGCGTGTAGCCGAATGGTACAGTCAGTGCGCAGAATTTGGACGCGATAATAATGAAAGGGGCCTGGAAGGTCATGACGACACTTTTCGAGGGGGGCGCGGCCAGCGAAAGTGGCCAAGGATGGGCCAGAGGGGAAGGATGCAAGGAGGGTGATCTTGGAATATTGCACATCCTTGCTACGCGCTTTGATTGTAATGCTTCATATTGCGCACGGACAGCCCCCCCCCCTGGTAGTCCCGGCTGGCCTCGACAGGTAGTCCCAGCTGGCCTCAACCGGCACCCCGAGTAATTCATCCGGGGCGGCCTCAAGACCTCTACCACGGGGCCCTGAGCGCCCCAGAGGCGCCGCTGGAAGCGGTGCCATGGTGTTGAGACCGCCCTGGATCGGCCGGGGGGCCTGTTGAGGCCAGCTGGGACTATTCGGGGGGGCTTCTGAGGCCAGCTGGGACTATCTGGCGGGGCTGTCTGTGCGCAGCCTTGAAGCCTTATCAGGCGAGGAGGGAGGGGAAGGGCAACGTTTTGGAGGCGGTAGGCTCGATCGGAGGTTTCGTAGGTTGCCTGCAGTTTTCCAGCCTCGGGATGCCTTCCAGCGTTTGTGCCTCGACGAGGGCGTTCAGGGGGGTCCGGATCTCGAACGGCCGCTGGAGAGCCGATTAGCGACCCGAGAGCCATGGGGGCAACGTTGGGGAGAGATAGGCTCCGGGGGGTGCATTGTGGTGGAGATGCCGGTCCATCGTGGAGTACAGCCAAGCATCGGTGCACTTCCGAATCGTCGTTGCTCCCCCGTTGTGCTGCTTCGCGCCAGGAGCCGGTGATTTCCCAAGGCTTCCTCTTGCCTCGGCGGGTAGCGCGTAGGAGCCCTCCGAGCCGCAGTGGCCCGAGAGCCATCAGGAGGAAAAGAAACACACAGACACCATGAATTTTCGATTTCCCAGAAAATATGGGAAAATATGGGAAGTGGGCGGGAAGACAAAAACCCAGAAAATATGGGAAAATATGGGGGATTATTTTATTTGTGTGTATTTATTTGTGCGTCCTTGGGCCCCTTCAAGCCAGGGGGCAGCGTTGGGGAGGGGCAGGACGGGGGAGCGCATCGACCCCCACGCGCCCATGCATCGCCGATGGGGCCCGATGCCCAAGCCCGCCCAGGGACACGAGGTGTCGCTGTAGGGGGCCTAGCGCCCTGAGGGCTTGTCGACTCTCCGCCCGTCGACCTGTGAGGATCGAGCCAGGCAAGTCCGGGTGAGTGCAGAGCAACCGAGGTGAATCCGGGAGAGTCCGGGGAAATGCGGGTGAATCCAGAGATCTCCAGGGAAAGCTGGAGCAACTCGCGGCCGCTCCAGCGCGAGTCGAGGGACGGCAGAAGTCATCGAGCCTTTCACGAATAGCGCCTATCATCGGCGATGCATCGCCGATTCCAGCTCGATGTGTCCCCGCCTGAGCCGGTCCCCCCTTGAGTATCGCTGCTCCTCGAATTTTCTGGTTTTTCTGGGCCTCTCCCGCTGCCATCTCTGAATCCCATGGTGGTCAGGGCTGGCCCCCCGGAAGCCTCGCTCCTTTGACGAGGACCCGTTTTTCAGTCCCGAGCCATATTTGTTTGCGGCCCCAGGGCCCGACCGGGCCCCTCGGAGGCAGAAGACGAGAACACAACATCATTTAGAGGCTGCCGCCTCTGCCGCCGACCCCATTTTGGGGGGATCCGTCTGGCGTGATTGCTCGGTTCCCTGCAGCGCTTTGTGTGTGTTAGGAAGACTTGGGAGGCCGCCCTGGTGTCGTGGTTGGACGGCGGAATACAATCGGAAAAATCTGCGCGGTATGTGGGACATTTCTTGAGTGTGTACCGCGCGCGTCCAAGAGATGCAGACCACGGGGACGAACGCAGCGATGAGGACGTGAGCAACAACAAACTGGAGGTGGGCTTTGCCCACCTGGACGAGGCTCTAAAATCGCGCGTCGGTGGTCGGAAGCGCGAAGACGGCGACGGGGATAGCAGTTGTGGTGGAGACGGTCAGGCGGAGGGTGGTCTGGGTGGATGTTCCCAATACGAGAATTCGAAAGCGGGCATGGCCGTGGCCCAGAAAGTGTGGGGCCAACGCCCGAGCGAAACGTGTCTCAGTGAGATGCGCAACGCGTGGCCGACAGCTTTCAGCTGTGACCTGGAAGCCGTGCTGGCCGCAGCAAGGGCATCGCGGAACAAGGAGAAATCAATGGCCGACAGAGTGGCGGCGGAGGAAGATAGTGTGAAGGTGGAGGCGCAGGCAAGGGCGACCTCAGACCAGGTGGCAGAGTGGCTCAGGAATTGGAATTCAGGACTGACAAAGACACAGGCCGGCGCGTTGTCAACGCGAAGCAGTTCGAAATGGTGAAGCAGGTAGCAGAGAGGGCGATGCAAGAGCTGGACGGGGAGGCACGAGGGGGCGCGGGCATGGGTGACCCGCTGCGTTGGTGCATGCACGGAGGACCTGCCACAGGGAAATCACACGTGTTGCGTATTCTGCGGAAGGAACTGTTCGAAGACTTGCTGACATGGAAAATTGGCGTTCATTTTCAGATCACGGCTTTCCAAGCAGTCATGGCGCAGCTGCTCGGTGGAGACACCATATGCACCACGCCTGCGGCATTCCCGCCGTGAAGCGTGGCGACGAGAAGGGGGAAGACGTGAAACTTCAGTGCGGCACAGCGAAGCGAGTCCTGCAGTGAAGGTGGTTGTTCATCGACGAGATCAGCATGGCGAGCGCCCGGCTGCTCGCCGTGGTGGGCCAGAAATTTCGCAACGTTATTCGGGGCGTTGGCGCCCAGAGGCGCGGGGAAGACGGAGTGCCGCGACCCTTCGGCGGTGTGGACGTCGTGTTGAGCGGGGATTTTTGGCAGCTGGCGCCTCCGGACGGAGGGTTTCTTGCAGACGCGCCAACAGAGCGCGTCGCGGAGGCTCGGAAGTATACCTCGCCCCCGCCAGCGCCACGTGGGCAAGCTCTCCTGCGGGGGGGGGGGTCAGGAAGGCGCGCAGGGAGTAACGGAGCCACTGGAGCGCGAGCGCTGCGACGATGCCTGGCTGAAATCTGAGCAAGAGGAGTTCCGCAGAGGAGCCCTCACATAAGACGCACATTCCTTTTTGCACGGGCGTGATACTGGCGTCCCGGGGAGTTGGCTCCGTGGCCAAGTTGGACGTGGGAGCGCGAGATGTAGAGCCTTGCGGGGCGGCGCAGGGGTCTCGCAGAAGGAAGCCGTCGGAGCACGCCGTCAGCGCTCAGTGACCCAGAAGGACATCCGCAGGCAGGAATGTGGGAAGTGCAGGCATGAGCGAGAAAGGCGCCGTCTCGTCATCGATGGCCCAGATGACCCGCGGACGCACGCGGCGAAGTTTCGGCGCGCCCCCGGGGTGTTCCCGAATAACGACGTCAAGTATGAGGCGAAAAAACTCCGAGCGTCGCAGTATGCCCGAGTGCACGAGAAGCCGATGGTGCACGTGCCTGCGCGCGACATTCCGACGCCGGACGCGCTGCGCGAGCGGCCGGATCTGCCGCGCCAGAAGGTGGCCTGGCTGCAGCGCCACGACAAGGAGAGCGTGGATCTGCACGGGTTTTTTGCCACTCGCGGAGGGAGCGCCAGTGGCCCTCACCGATCGCATCGATCGCAGCGAGGACAAGTACCTGCTCCGCGGGCGCGCGGGGACCGTGCGGGGACCGTGCGCTCATGGGCGCGCGATGGCGACGAAGGAGCTGGTCGCGTCTCCCGGGGAGGGGGGGCCATTTTGCAGAAGACGCCGAAAGTGATTTTTGTCCTCTGCGACGTGGGTCGCGATGGCCAGGGAGCTCGGATCCCTTGCAAATGGGGGGTTCCAGGGCCGCAGACGCCAGGCCTGCACCTGGTGACCCCGCAGAAGAAACATTGGTTCGTGGACGAGGGCCGGCCGCGCCCGCGCCTGAAAGCGAAGCGGCGGCAGCCCACCTTGGCGCCAGCTTTTGGAGCGACGGCCCACTCAGCACAGGGGCAGACATTTAAGCGAGGAGGCATCGTCGATCTCAGGATAGAAGGGCGCGCGTCGCCGTCGTCGAGTTACGCGGCCCTCGCGCGCGTTCGTCGGCGTAAGGATACGTAGATCTTTCGTCCTTTCGACCGAGCGCCGCGCGCCCAGAAAGAGCGAAGAGGGCCGGAGTTGCCCTTGCGATCGTTGCGGGGGGATCCCATAGAGTGGGATGCAATCGAGACGGAGTTCACGCCTGCAGGGAGGTGCGCGCTATGCTCGTCAGTGAAGTACAAGAACCAGTATGCTCTCGGACAATGGGGTCGCGATGACGGCCTCGTGTGGCGCATGCCTGGAAGGCAAGAAGAGCGCGGGCACTCCGTGGCAGCGCATGGGGCGAAGTCTGTGGAAGTGCCAGGGCGCCTTCCACGCGTCCCAACACCATAGCTCGAAGCTAACGTCGCGGCTTTGCGTTGATTGTCCTGGGAGGCGAAAGTGTTGCGCATGCGAGGTTCGAAAGTGCGAGCAAGGGTTCGTGGAGTATCGGTGGGAAAAAGGCAGGGAATAGCCGGCGCAAAGGGGGGGGGGGGGGCGCGCAGAGTGCGAGGAGCCGGAGAAACACCTCGCGCGCGGTCGCTGCAAAGTAGCGAAACTCGCAACGCATTTTGCGGAGGGCGACGTCGATGACGAGGAGCGTCTGCGCGACAAATGCAAGAGGGCGAAGGGCAAGGGGCAGAAGCGGCGCGCGGAAGAGGTGGAACGGCAAAGGTGTTCGAGGCGCGGCCGAGAGAAGCCGCGTGATTTGTTTTCCGAGAGAATGTGGGAAGAGAGGCCTAGGCCGCGA